CTCTGTGGAGTACTATATCCGGTGTAGTTTGCCACACCGGTAGTGTAGCTCGAACTGCCGTCAAAATAGTCCTATCCAGGAGTTTGAGGTGCCATCCAACACCCGTACTAACCTTCTTATCTCGTATCGTCGTGATACGGGTGAGTCCGGAACACCAAGTTTTAGCGCCATAAGAAAGTCGTACTGACTACACATGTGTTTACAGCGCGTATTAATAGTCCGGGAGCCGCGCCTGGCTGGAACTTTTTGACGTTACGTAAGAGCTGTGATAACTGTTGTGCCTTACTACACCATTCCTAAACATGCTTTTTAAATGTCAGTTGTGCGCCCAGCAGTCGAATGTGTGGAGATAGTGTAATAAGCTGTTCATCAACTTGAACCGAGAGGCTGCATGAGTCAAGTTTCTTATTCGGTCCTCCCCCGATAACCAATAGCTCAGACTTCGAACGGCCGAATCTAATCATGTATATTGCAGCCAGTTGGACTATCCTATCCACTTCTTCCTGGGCAGCCTTCGAAGCTTCACAAGGATTTTTACTGACTCAAAAGTTGGCGATGTCGTCTGCATATCCAAATCTACAGTTGGCGGAGCCTTCTTCGATTAGAGTGGAAATTTATAACATGAGTAAAAGTGGCGAGAGTGGTGATCCTTGGGGGACACCGTACTCAACGAGCTATTTTTCAGTAACAACTTCTTTGTATCTTACCAAGTCTCTTCTCTATGTCAGATAGGATTTGACCCAGCGATAGAGGGAAGATGACCAGCCCTAACTTCGCATTCGTGCAAGCAGCCGATTGTGTACCACTGCAACGAAGGCACCTTGAATATCTAGCGTGACTATAGCTATAACTTTGTTAGATCTCATTGCAGCTTTAGCATCATGCATAATACATGATACCGAGTCAACTGCTGAGCGTCCTAGCAGCGCGCTGAATAGTTGTAGACGTACTGCTTTGTGCTGTATTGCGAGCCAGGACATCCGTTTGACTACTAGTATTTCAAGCCCCTTACCTAAACAGGAGAGTAGTGATATTGATCGCCATCCCTTTGAGCTGGTAGGGTCGCGGCCTGGTTTTCAAAGTAGCACGACTTCAGCCACCTTAAAAGGCGTCGGAAAATATTCCAAGTTCAAACAAGCCTGGAAGAGATCCCTGATAAAAGTTCCTATCGTCTTCCAGCAAGCCTTAAGAAGTCGGACGGTAATCTTGTCGAAACCCGGTGCGGTTTCTTAAATCCCAATAGTTGCTGCTGTGACATCTTCCAGTGAAACCTCCCCGATTCATGGAATACGCTCTGGTTGACCATGCTCCCATGCATCAATATCGTTTCTCGTGTCATATCTTGCAAGATTGGAGCCCCGCAGTGTAATCGTCCGCTCTAGTGGATCTGAAAGCCACTGGTTGGGTGATACCTGTAGAGGAGGGGGTTCTTTCACCGCCCTAGAGCTGACACATCGCATCAGTTTAAACACTTGAGCTTCTGTCACTGCTGCCTCGACTTGATTTGTCCAGAATTCGCGTTTTGCCACCTTCACTGTTGCTCTGAACGCCTTTCGTGTTAGTTCTACGTTTTCAGATGTAGCTTTAGCTATCCTATAGTCAGTATGTCGCTTTTTGCAGTCATCAGTCCACAAGAGTGCTGTCTTTTCTCTAACCATTGCGGGTACCTGTCCTACAACTTTGACCGCGTCTTGAAGAGCTTGAATCAAATCCCTTGTGTAGTTTTCAATTTCAGTTTGACCACTGAGAGGCCCATGCCTGACCCATTGCTTCTCGCATCGACAAAACTCTTCTAGATCGCAGTCTTTCACGCGTACTAGTCTTGGAATCCCAGTTAGCTCTGAGAATCCAGGTTTGTCGACTGAGCCTACAATAGTAAAGTGTTTTGATATACAGTCGAGCCGGGTTGAAGCTGATGCGAACGCCATCGTGTTACTCCAGGTTAGATCCAGCACATTTCCATCGCGATGAGTATTTTTCCTAGGGTGTTTAATAGCTGCAGATTGATTCTACATGCCCACTCCGTGATAAGATCACCGTTTCCATATTGACGCTCTGTTAATGGCTGCCAGTACTGTGAGACAGAGTTGAAGTCGCTCCCACTACTACCGCACTACTCGGCTTCTAGCTTAGCAATGGTTACAAAATCCCGCTGTGGACTGGAACACGATAGACGTTTACAAATATCAGTCCACCAACCTACAAGAAAAAGTAGTCTAAGGTCTGGCTTGTTGTCGAGGGTGTTATTTGAGTAGCCTGGATTCCTTTTCTCACAAGAGTGATGGCGCGCGGTCGCGATCGTGGTGCTATATTTCCAAAGGGTACAAAACTATCGAAGCCGGGGTGGCTTTTAGTAGTGAGATCTCCGTCTTTTAGCAAGATCTATGGTTCTTGTACCATGACTATATGTGCTTCTGCATCCCAGGCTTGTTGCAGCGCTATTTCCATGTTTTGTCTGCCCTTTCCCACATTCACTAGGTGAAAGAGAAGGGTGCTATATTTGTGTATATGATCATGAAAATTGGGTGTATTACTCATTATCATGCATTATTTCTTCTGGTATATTAATGACCTCGCGGGCCTTACCTTTTTGTTCTGATCTTAACAATACTGCCTTGAAATCTTTATGTCCTCGCTCTCGGAAAACTCGCAGCTCGGCGGGTGATCGGGGCGTTACTTGTCTATGTCCCCGCCTTGGCCGGGCCATGCAGCCCAGGTGGGTTGACTCGTGCGTTCCAGCGTAGTTTGAACATTTGGGGATACTGGCCATGCATTTTGCTACTTCGTGTGTACCAGAGAATTTTTCTCACCGCTGTCCTTTGACACAATTTCTTGTTGAGTGATAACCCCAGCAGCTTTGACATTGCTCGATGGGGCGTCGATGGGAGAGCGGTATAGCTGGCCCACTCTCATCAAAAAGTCTAAATCGGAGATTAAATGGCATTTGTTTGAAGTGAATTATCCACCTAGCGGAATAGCTTCCTAATTTTTTGTCGTTTGGGCGCAACTGTATTGGTGTGACCCCACAAACTGCCTGGCATTCTGTCTTTATCATTTCCCTGGTTACTTCAATTCTTCCATCTAAAGTGCAGATAAAAATTGGGACATGAGGTACCATGACAGATGTCCAGTCTAAAAAAGGCTCGATTGCTATTTCGTCGTTTTGAAGTGCAGGGCCTACACTCAGAATTAATTCCCGGAGCGCGTCTGATGCGCACTCCATGGCTAGGCCAGACCTGACTTTTGTCATTGATATGATTGCTGAAGGTGCAACTCCAGTTTTCTCAGTGATAATTTTCTCTACTGTGACAGGTGATAGTCTCCGCCATTGGTGTTCTCGCCCAATGCAAAGGAAGAGTCTTTTATCATCTTTTGGGGGCTCTTGACCGGCTAGTTTTGCCTGCACTATGGGCTTTCGTTTTGCTAGGTTCACCGGCAAGTCCAGGAGCTTGGCTGCTTTCCGGGCTATTGTCAACCACGGAGTCGTATTATGCTGTGGCCTCTTCGGAAGTTCGTTGAGCGATTTCTCACCTATTTTTGTCGCTCTAAGCACAGAGGTTTCTAACTGAGTGCTTTCGGGGGAAGGATTTTTGCCTGGGGGGTACACGGCGTTGATGTTTCCTATCGCAAATGCTGTTACGATAGGATAAATTTTTCAATAAATGGTACGAGTAAATGCGCCCTCGCAGTCACTGCCTTGGACTTCGCCCACGCGTCGAAAATTTGAAGATAGTCTTGAGCTAGGCTCATTCTTTCCTTGAGTTCGCGTTCTGATTGCTCCATAGCTGCAGCAATCCGAAGAAGGCTCGGGTGTAGTTCGTCGCCTGGGTCGGTAGACGCCGAGGACGACGGCTGGTTTAATGCAGCCATGTAGCTGCTTGGTTTTACTGATATAATAAGAATGAGAAGTGGATGAAGGATTGTGAAAGTCTAATGATATTTTTTTTGTTCATTAACGTATTGGTTAAGTGACTACCGTTGCACTTTTACTGGAGCTTAAGCACGAGTGGGGCCGGGCCGGATCAGGTTAACAACCGTGAAGTACAGATAAACCTCGTCCCATCTAAGAGACCGGACCACCTCAGACTTCACCCATGTGTTGAATCATGTCAAGCCCAACCGTCCAGAGAATTCTCTTTTGACCCGCCGAAGCACAAATTCCCCCTCAGCCTCGGCCACCACGCGCCCGAGCCCTTGACATTCTCATTGACTCCGAAACATAAATGTAGTCCCAGATCTCATCGTTACTCTAGCCTTGCACCTACATATCGTACTATTAGGTTATTGTCGTCATTGAGGATTTTTGCGATCCCCTCGGTGTATCTTCCCTTTTCTTCCTCTCTTTTACACGTCCCGTTTCCATCATGACTTTCCTCATTAGGGCGTGTGTAGGTGGGTGATTGGACAAGTATGGAAGTGGGTCGCAGGTGTAGAATCGACTGAAAAATGCTTCGTCGCAAATGTAAAAGGAGCTTGAGAGATGTCGGATGATTGAATACGACCCCTAGACAGACCTAAATCCATTCGTGAATCGTATGTTGGTGGTGATGAGTCCTTGTTCAACCTTGTTCCGGCTGTGAAATCTCTGCCGACTAATTTTTCGACCAAAATATCGAGTAAAACTCATTCAAGTCGAAAATTCATCAAATAAAATTCATCCCACCCTTTTTCGTGACTGAATCTCGGCTCTGAGAGAATGTTTCACTCCCAGTTTCGCAGAGGATACCACTGACAGGTGTTTAGCCATGGTCCTCCTGTCTAATGATGTTGACTACCGAATTAGGATATTTGGTCTAAACTTGAATTTAAATCAGGTGACCCAGTCGAATTTCAATCGGTGCATGCCACATCTCACTGAGTATATCACACAAGACGATAAATATACACACACATCGAGGTAATTTTCAAGGGAAACTGAATTTTTTGAACTTTATCGGTCCATCAAATAATCTTCTAAGTACAAAATTGAGTGATATAATACGGGTTCAATCCTTGTTCCGATGGAATCAATTGCTGTTCCAGGCCAATTTCTTGGTAATACGAGTGCCTTTCAAGGAGGACCCGGGACACACATCTGCGGTTCAAAACTGTACGCCTCGATTCTAGGACCCATATCAAGGACATCTCCTTTATCATCCGGTCCTACGAAACGTCTAACAAAAATCACGTCTTCATCATCCGCCGTCCTGCCCATACTTTCAATCGATCGATGTATTTCCTCTGGGAATACCTCTAATGTCAATAAGACCGCGAAAACTAACGACAAGGTACTACCAAATGTGGGAAATACCGTATTATGTCGAGTCACACGCATAACTCCAAAGCAAGCAACTGTCGGGATATTAGTTGTTGGTGAGACGGTCATGCACGGCGAGTGGCAGGGTTTGATCCGAGTGCAAGACGTGCGGGCAACAGAAAAAGATAAGGTCAGAATAGTTGAGAGCTTCCGACCAGGTGATATTGTGAGAGCAGTCGTGGTAACATCTTTCTGAACCTCCATTTTTTCTTCTCGGTCGTTTCAGCTAACATTTATGACTAGATTTCGCTCGGTGATCAATCAAATTACTACCTCTCTACGGCCAGCAATAATCTGGGAGTTATCATGGCCAAAAGTGAAGCTGGAAACGCCATGTATCCAGTAAGCTGGAAAGAGTATCGAGATCCGGAAACTAATTTGAGCGAGAGTCGGAAAGTAGCGAAGCCTCTATGAAACTACATAATTACGACCAACCAGTAGCTCTCACTTAAATATTCTTAATGCTTGACACCCCAATTCCTCACCGTCAAATGGAGGTTAGAAGTGTAAAAATGTAAAGCTACAACCTATAGAAACGTTGGGCTTCGCTTCAAATGATTCCAGAAAAAACAAGTCGCTCAGAACAATCTATAGCAACAGCCCACAATCTATTAAATTTCAGTAGTTGACGGTCAAATTATAGGCTCTCAAATTTGGGATCCCTTGCCTATGAAAAGGTACACAAGGACATGAGAACTCTAGAATTTTTTCTCTCATTCAGATCTCAAATATTGGTAATTATCGATACATCAGTAAACACTGCTGCTTGAAACTGTACCATCCTAATTGTCGTTTACAACGTAGTCAATAACACTGATCACGATTTTCAATATTCTATTTCTAGAGTCAAAGATCTCTAGGGGTTTAAATCAAGGTTTCATAACTTGTCTTGACGAAATACAACAAAATTTATGATTGAAACCATTGTTTCATTTTAGACCAGGTCAATAAAGAGCATTAATTTCACATAGACCGACCCGAATAGACTCGATGTATGAGTGAGTATTGAAATAAATCAATTTGAAATTTATTGAACGATCCTGAATATTAAGTCTGAGGAAATGTACGTACCTTACAGCTCAGAAATATTTTATACCAAATGTTATAAGCTAAAATCAGAGTATTACAATTGGAGTGATGTAAGTATTTCAATGCGGATTATAAACGTCTACTAGTTCGGAAGGAAACAAGTTTTATCAATTCTATCGGTTGTCAATGTAGACAAACTTGTATAGACATGGACCATAGTTTATTCAGTTTACAAGACCCAAATTTTGAAAGAGTAAGATGAAGACTAAATTCTCATACCGAGTGTATTCTGCAATTCTAGGATCGGAATTTTCTCCTTGAATCCAGTTCAGTCAAGTTCCGCAACAACGGAGATGCTTGGTCAAGGCAATGATCCAAAACTCCTCGCCACGTCAATTTTTCACTCCCAACTAGATTTAGTTAATCGAGGGCCACTCAAATTGCCAAGTACAACCTCTTATATTCTCGTTCCTATAACTGCACCTCTCGTTGACTCAGTCTCTAGCCCCAAATGACTTCAAACACACGCGCATGTCGATACTAGTAACGACTGGCGGAAACAAATCGTGTGGCTCATATCTAAGAGGTAAATCTTCGGGATTGACGTGGCACAGACCAGGTCAAGTATACGAGATGATGCAAACGGTGGATACAATATTGGAAAAGAGGCTTCATATCGAGAAATATACGCTACAAGACTCTGACTGCGAGAGTGCAGGCGACACTATAGATATCGCAATGGTTGTAAAGTGCAGTGGTACATCATCTAGACTGGTCTGCCAAGTAAATTCTGGACAGCTTGGAAACCGATCCGACTTGAGACAGGAGATTGCTGGTTCCAAGCCAGCAAGACTGAATCGCATTTCTTGCAGTGTTTGTGTGGTTGTGTGGTTGTATCAAGCAAGGGTTTGAGTTTCTCTTGGCTTTGTACTCGCAGGGAGGGTATCGTTCTGCTGATACTGGCAGCCTCTGATGGCCTACTTTTTCCGAGCTGGCTAGGTTTTCCCCGCAAATTTTCTGCTATCATGGCCTATAATGCTGCCCGCTGTCTTCAACAACTCGTCGCAGCCGTTGGTCGGTTCTGTGAGCCAAGAGTTTGAGGTATCCATCGACGATGCGCTCTGCCTCTGCGAATAAATTAGTCATTGTAACACTCAATGACTCAGGGTGACTATTCTCAACAGCCGTCAATGATGTCTACTACAAACTTCCAGCTCTCACTGTAGAGAATAAGAGCACTGTACAAGGTTTGATTTGGGCCAGAGAGGAGCTCAATGTGCTAGATAGTCTATGACTCATGTAGTACAATAAACATATCACTCACCCAGTGACTCTGTGGGTTTTGGCATCTCGCTTCGCAGATCAGCTTTGCAGCTTGATGCATCTTGCTTAAATTGTTTGGTTGCTCTTTGAGGACCATCTCGACGTCAGGACGTGTCGAATTTACTGTTGAGAGGGGATGCCAAGAGCCAGCCTCTGCAGAGGACTGGGGCGGCATGGATGAGAATGTCGGGAATCACAGTAATAAGTCGAAGATGGTGCAGTCTGGGAAAGGCTCTAAAATCTATCCATGCCCTCAAGGGGAATGAATTTAAATAATCTAAGGCAACTTTATCTATCTTTTGTAATCTCAGTTATTGATTATAGATCTATCCTTTGGTTCCATAAATCTACGTCTTCCACCCTGACTTCAAAATATGACAAGCTACAAGATCGAGCAATAGTTGCAATTACAGGAGCATTTCCTCAAGCCTCTAGAAAAGCTTTGGAGGTAGAGGTAGCTATTCCCCCCCCCCCCCCCCAAAAAAAAATACATCACCTCAAACATGCCAGTCTTTATTCTCTTCATATCCTCCGGCTCCAGAAGACTCATCCCATCCTCAAAAACCTCCACAACCAACTTGAGGATGAGCTTAGTCTTACCAATGAGCAGGACCCAAGAATCTTAACAGAAACAACTAACTACTCATGACAACTAGCCAGGTTTGGCAAGCTATTGACTAGCCTTACAATTAACCATAGTTTGGAAGCCAGTGAGAATAAATGAAACCCTCCTTGGTCAAGGTCATCCATAAAAGTCAATATTTCTTTGTCCCCCAAAGGAGAAGCAGTAACAGAACGCAAGCAACTACTCATTCAAATCCCAGTATTTGCAACAAAGATTTATACTGATGAATCACTAACTGAGGGAAAGGGAAGCAGCAAAGGATATGTGATCTATGCTTCCAATACCGGACTCATCAAGTGTTTCAGCCAATCTTGGCCATGAGATGGGGATATTAGATACAGAATCCTTCTGCATCTCAAAAGCCACTGGAAATTCTAAGAAATTGACAAGTTCAACAGCAATCTACATCTTTTCTGACAGCCAAGCAGCACTTACAAAGATACAAAATGGCTCCAATTTATTCTCTTACTAAATCCGAAAAAATTGAATTGGTAAAAATATCATACTTGGTGTCCAGGACATATAGAAATTAATGGGAATATGCTGGTTGATGCTCTTGCAAGAAGGGCTTCAAGTCAGGATGAAACTTTACAATATCAATATACTTCTTACAGTTTTCTTAAACAAGTTTACAAATCTGTCAAAAATGCCTGGTCTAAAGATTGGGCTTCACAACAAAAGCCAGAATATAATGGTAGGAGATCAAAGGGATTAGGCAAGTTCTACAGAACTCATATGAAGTGTTCTATCCCAGACCTCAAGCTTAAACCATTTAACTTTACTAAATTTAGCCGAAAAGCTCAGTCATCGTATATTCAGGTTGGAGCTTGCATAGGAAACAACCTGACCTATTTGAAAAAAATAGGAAAAAGTGATACAAATTTGTGCAATTTTGCTCAAATGGTATTCATGTTAGAATTTAGAATAATTGGGGCTATCAAGTAGGCCACGTTGTTGATACACACGTGACTGCAATTCTGTACTTAGTTTCACTTCGGTAGTTACTTTAATTAATGCACTCTACAACCTCGATGACTGAAGGGTCATTATTTCCTCAAAAATTTAGACAATAAGCCATCTAATTTTTCGCAGCTCAAAATTTAAAATTCATAGATAAGAAAACTTTAAAGACTTGAAATCACTTATACGAAAGATATTATTCAACACAAATGTGGAGAAAACTTCACTATTAAGATATCTCTCCTCGACTGGCTGTCTCTATGGGGGGCAAGGTTGGGGAGGATGGAAATTAAATGAACCTTGAAACAAAAAATATGCTTTATCAAAGTTATTTTAGGAATATTTTAAATGTTTTTATTGCAAGGAGAAATAGGAATATATGCTAATGTGTGTAAAATATTATCAGTGTCATAGCTACGTAGGCTGTATATACTTAATGATAAAAAGACAAAAAAAAGTCGAAGATGGTAGATTAAGACGATATTTTTTGTTCTTTTGATCGACGGATGTAGAGATGATGAGCCCAAGACGACGATGATGATGTTGGCAATGAAGAAACATGTTATAATATCAAACGCAACAACGGTAGTCAGAGAAACCCTCGTCACATCACAACATCAGATTCTCACCGGCGGGCAAACAAAATGCCTACGAAAACAAGATAAAAGATCCTTCCGCCCTCAAGAAAAGCTAATTTCGACTCATCTATAATATCTTCCCTTCTAACCTTTAATTCCGAATATACTAGCGAGGAGGGCATCTGAAATACATGAGTTACTCGACAACCCCACGTCCGTAACGACTTTTGGAAGCTAAGCTAGGCTCATTCACGACAGTCACTCTCGACCAAGAGTTTTTTGACATCCTTTCACGACTTTCGGTCTGTGCTGCGGCATGAATCAGGGGAGGAGTAAAGAGGAGGAGAGGAAGGTTGAGAGACACTCTTAGGTAAACACAGGTCTGCTGCGCCCGGCTGGACGGCCTCTTTATCGTAGGAGAGCCCCGCACTCAGTAAGTTTGGAGACTTTTCCCTGCAGGTACATACTCGCAAATACACATCGTGTGATTATCATAGCTAAATAACTAAATACAATATGAAATAATAAAATTATAAAAAAAAAATCATGGTTTTGCTAGATGGAAAGGGGGGATAATGACGGGATAACGGCTCCTCTTAGTGTGTACTCAAATGAAGACCTGTGTTGGTATTACTGTTGAAAAGATGTCGTGAAGGAGGCATAGAAAGGAGTACACTACACGAGGCATAGATACTCCCGGCCTTTGGGCAGAAAATAACTACGTGTCCTTACATATTCATAGACTTATTCTATTCTACAAATACTCATACTTTTCCTTATTTTAGCGCTCTATTTTGTGCATCGCACAATTATCACATATTTAGCCACTGAGACCCACATTAATAAATGATACTGGAATTCAGCAGATAACCCTTCCCCCCACCTATCACAAGTTACGG